CACCATTTGTTCCAGGAAGAGTCCTGCATTTCCTATAGTGACCTATAGACTATATGCTCCTGTAGACTATATTTCCCTGTGGCCATATTACCTACACCCAGATGGCAGGAAACCCTTATCTCAGGCAGGTTGAAATTCATGCTCTTTAGCCACTGTTGCAAAGTTGTGTCATCTTCTCACTCTGGAAGAGCACTTTCAACTTCTGAAAGAAACTTCGCACTTCTTTCTGGCCATTTTCAGCTGCTTCAGCTGTGAAAAGGCAAAGAGTAGATTGGGAACATGAGGTTTAGTTCCTTGCCCTGCTGAAAATTCCCTTTGTGGTGCTTAGGGAATTGTTTGCTCTTGCTGTGACTTGGTTGCTGATCTGTGATACAGTGTATTACTAACCGGTCCCCTGGCCTGCAGGGAGCAAAACTACATGGCTCAGTTACTGTAGCAATGACCCTGAATTCAGGAATGTGTTTTCATGGGCACAGTGCTAGACATCCAGAGCAGTCCTCAGTGCTCTGCAAAGCCCTGCACAGGCTGGGCTGCTGCCTCATCTCACCCCTCTCAGCAGATGTGTGTGCAGTGCAGCCAGCTGCATCAGAAGAACATCATGTCCTGCAAGAGCAAGGTAGCCAGAGTCCAGCCAGGGTGTTGCTGCCTCATACGTGCAGAACGGGATGGGACAGGGGAGAGGAGACATCGGGAATTACTTTGGTCTGTGGGAGAAAAAGAGAGAACAGGAGGAGGTCAGAGAAGAAGTTAACAAAGAAATGTTACTAAAGAAGGTTTATGTTTAAAGCAAAGCTAGGCTGCCCTATACACCCATTCCCACTGCACTCTGTGCTGCTGTGGGGATGCTCCCAGGCTTCTGCAAAAGGGGCCTACAGCAAAAAGTCTTCACCAGGCTTGAACATGAGTTTAGAGAGGCTCCTCTGACGCTTGTATCCTGAATATTTCCCTTCTCTGCCCCATGTGGTTCCAGCACAGGGACCTTGAGAGAGCTGGCATCCGTTTGGACTGTCACATCCATATGGGCAGGCAGGCCTGTCTCCAAGGGTGAAATACCTCTTTTTCCAAGGCTCCCTTTTGCAGTGTAACAGCGTGGTGAAGAGGGGTATGCAACGCCTAGAGAGCCCCAGGCTGCTTGGCTGGAGGAAAGGTAAAAGATACAGCTACTCTGTGCTTCCATCTTGTGTCTGACTCTGCATTGCAGGGGTGGACTTAGCAGAAGCGAGGGATGGAGTGAGTCAACAGAGGTTGGTGAAGAAGACTGCAAAAGCTCTGCCTCTCCTGTGCTTCTGCATGAGCAGCTCTTCACCTCCCTGAGAGCGGAGTAGGGCAGAACTTCTTTTGTTTCAACAGCTTGCACTGACTGGGAGGGGAAAAAGGGAATGTTTTTGGAGCTGCTCCTTGTTTCAAACGTGCCAGCCTGTTTCCAGTCTTACACAGTCCCTTTGTTCAGAAGGCTGGGACATTTCCCTTGGCCAGGAGGGAGCTGAGACATGTCAGTTTGTAGCTAGTGCTTGGCATGTGGTTTTGCTATTGCACACAGATGAATGAATGAAATTAGCTCTGGGCTGCCAAGGGATCTGGTAGGATGGCAGCCAGAGATATTTATTATGCCTTCCCTGTGCTAAGCAGTGCTGGTTGGCACAGACACAGCCCTATGGTTTAGGTTTTAAGATGAGTTTGTTTTATCTTAAATACGTTGCAAGAAAAGAATGTGTTTATTGTTACAGCCTGCTCTCTGGGGCACAGCTTGCCCTCGAGCGGGTGTGCTGGGTTGCCATGCAGTCAGAGCTCCTGCACAAGTGCACCAGGTTTGGGCAGCTGCGTTAGCAGAGGTTTTGTCTATACTAATAAATCTGAACATCTGCATGGATTAATGGTTAATGTGGGCCTTGGTCATTTTTAGGCCTGTGCCAACCAGTATCAGCCTAGAAAAGACGTGGGCACTGAGTAAGAGCTTGTGAAGGGACAGTTCCAATTTATTTCTTTAGGAACCAATTGCCCCTGAGTTTGGTCTCAGTTTCTGTTCACATAAGAGCCCCTTGAACAGGTCCGGCATAAAGCCCAGGATTCACTTTTAAGCCTCTGAAGAACATATTGCATGAATATAGGTAGCACCTTTCTTGGTATTTGACAATGTCTGTGGGCATGTCAGCAGGGAAGAGGGGCTTGGGCACAGCCATCCTGTTCTGGTGGAGCATTTAGGTGGCTCAGCATGACTCACGCCATGCCCCTCAGCATCTGGACCTCTCATCCTGTTTTAGTTAATAACAGGTGCAGCCACATACGGAGTGAGCAGTTGTTGGTCTAGAGCAGTGGTGAGGACAACAGCTCCCAGGTAGTCCTGCTGCTGCCAGAGATACAATCCTCCCATGGTGAAGACCTTTGTTTACTCACACACAGGCAGCACTGGGGCCAATGCAGGAGACTTGCCTGCCTGCCACACAGCAGTTTGCAGCAAGTCTCATTTCACCCTATAGCGCCAGGCTGGCAACTTCTGTGATGGATTTTGGGGAAAATACTGCTTTTTCATTTCCCATTTGGCCTCACCAGTGCAGATACGAGTCTCCATGAATGAGATTCTTCATGGCCTAAACAGAGATAAGTTTATACAGGTGACATTTCAACACAAACAAAACCTGGAGGAGATGATAAGATTAATGTTCACATGAAGGCAACAGGGGCTGCTGAGCCTCTCAATGAGAAGATCAGGTTAAGAAAACCACCTCTGCTTCACCCAGTTAGAAAAATTCAGCTGAGCAAGCCTGTGAGGATGGCAGAGATTCAAGCATAGCAAATGTTCTTGCTATTGACAGGCCTCAGCTCACTTATACCCTTAATAAATAGCGCAGCCTGGAGAAGAGGCTGGTTACAAGGAGCAACTGCAGATGCTATAGCTGGTAGAGTGCCAGCCCCAGCACCGAGTTGGGTGTCTCTGGTTGGGGTAAGAAGGCAGGCAGGAGGAGAGGCAGGGTTGGGCTGCTGCTGTAGGGCAGCTCTCTTTCTTCTACCACTGTCTTCCTGGGACTCACTGAGCGGAGTCGATGAGCAGAGCTGATGTTTGTTCTGCTCCCACCTGCTCTTTGCAGAGCTCTCAGTGGCAAATCCAGTTATGAAAGCCTGATAATACTTCACAAAATTAGCTCCCAAATGCTCTGGGGCAGCTGCCAAAGGGAGAGTTCCACCTCAAAGGGTGGTACAAAGCTGCCAGGAAAAGGGATGGGATTGCTACACATCCACAACATATGGGCACATTGACCATAGGCTTCCTTGACCCAGAGTGGATGCAGTCAGTTCTCTCCTCCCTGCAGAAACCCATAGCCTGGGTTATGTCCCCTGGGCAATATCCAGCTCAACAAGATTTTGGTTCTCAGTTTGGTTTCTGAGATACTGGTGACAAATAACCAGAGCTACCTTCATCTCTACCTTCCATGAAAAGAGGTTTTGAAAGGTTCCTTGCCACCTACAACAAGTATTACTGTCTTCTGCTTTCCTATCCTGCCCATGGCATGGTCCAGTGATCTGATCTCCACACGCACAATGGAAACACAGATGCTTTGCCATGAATGTCAAGGCTGTAGTGTTACGTTCCTTGGCTCCAGCTGTTCCAGGCTGTCAGATGTGGTGTCCTCCATAGGCACTCAGCACTCTGCCCATTCATACCTCCAGGTGGCTCCTCAGTCAAGTATCGTTTTAAAACCTGGGTGCCCCAGGACACCTATTATCTGCCTATTATTTCAGCAAGCTCTTGAAGAGCTGTTTTGGCTTCATTTTACAGGGGTACCTGTACCAATCTGCTCCTGGTATGAGTCTTTGAGGGTTTCAATGCTCAATCTGAATTCCTCTCCTTCTGGATGCCTTTAGAGGTAAAAGATGTCTCCCCTCTTAGTCATACTTGGCCTTGTTTTTATTTTGTAGCTGGATGTTGTTTCACCTTCCCTTTTGTTGAAATATTCCTTACAATGAAAATTCTCTTCTTCCAACACACCTCCTAAAGTTTTGCAGTTTCTGTGAGAGAGACACTCATTGCAGATGGCACCTTCAGATGAGAGACAAACACTCCTATGTCATTCATTCAACACAGAATGCCTGCAGCAGATTCCCCACTCATTCCTGTTTCCTTTGTGGAGGCAAGGGCAAACATAAGTGATCTTCTCTGGGGATGAGGAGATGCTTCCCCAGCAGATCAGGATGGCATAGCTGGGCTGTGTATATCTGCATGGTACCCAGCCCATATTGCAGAAGCCATCTCCTGGAGCTCCTGCTCTGAAAGAAGAGGAAGGAATCCCCTGCCTTGTCTCCTGAAGTAGATCTGCTGTCAACCCCTGTCCACACTCTTATGCTCAGCCTGAAAACAGAGATAGATACTTTCTGCAGCCCCAGCAGTGCAGAATCTGTGCAGCAACATTTCCCCTGTCTCCCTAAGGCTGCTACAGTCCCAGTGTCTCTTGGCAGTGCCTTTGGGAGCTGCCTGAAGGATTGGGAAATGTATGTGTGGTAAGCCAACCTGTCTTCCTAGCTAGGAATAAGTAACCAGCATTTCTGGAGTTACTGGTGGGCAGATATTTTGTTCCTTAGCATAAACCTAGATAAAATAGTTCATCAAAGATTTGGTATACTTCTGCCACAACCTACTGCAAGAACACCCCACCTCCACCAGTAGATCCTCTCTAAGCATCTTTTACAAGTATTCCACCAGTTCCTCCAAGCTAGGTATAAGGGCTAACCTTAAGCAAGCAGACCATGTCATCTCACAAAAAAGCTTTTCCTCTCAAACTGGTGTGGATGTGCAGCAAGCTGGCCAATCTTCACAGCCCACATACTTTTCAGATAGCTATTTGGTTTCCATCGTCCGTCAAATGAATGTATTGAAGCAGATGAGATTGTCCCAGATTTACACAGGTAGGAATGAAAGCATTTTGCCTGGGATTTTCAGATTATTAAAGTGACTTTGTGTTTTCAGGTCAATCTGCCAGAGAGTGACAGATGCAGTGGAAAGAAAGTGGGATGGCACTACACAAATCAACTGAACTCAGATTATAACAGCAAAGCAATAGAAAGGAGTTTGGGAAGGCAGGGAAAGGGTAAGTCATCTCTTCAGTCTGTACACAGACTTTTATTGATGTAGTATTGAAAATAAGTGCTATTCTCCCCCTCCCTTTGCAATGTCCTTTGCACAAAACCCTAAGGAAAAATTGCTTTGGCTCTGTCAACAAGGAAATTGCTGCTGCTTTTGGTCAGGATCAGCTCTGGTGGCACTGGTCACTCGAGGTTTCTTGTTGCACATCTGCCCAGCCCCACTACACATTCTAGCTGCTTGGGTCCTTGATTGCCTCTTGAGACCCAAGGGGAGACCTGCACAGCTACCCATGGTGATACAGAGGTGCAGGTGATAGTAGATGAGCCTTCTGTTATCATGGCTCTCCTATGGAAAAAGCTACTCAGTAGAAGGCCATGAGATGAGGGCAGGAGTATGGTAGGAGTGTGATCCTTGTCAGGTGGATCAGGCCTCTGAGTGATGGAACCTTTTCTCACTGCAGCCTTTGAATGTCACCTCCATCTAGCTGTACCAACCCTGCTCCCTCCTGCGGCACAATCCGGTCAGCAGGAGTGCTTTGGCCTATGCAGATTTTGCTGTTTCCTCAAAAAGAGCAAAACCTCTCTCTTTCAGCTCTCTGGCTGAAAGGATCTTCTGGCCAGCATAATCACATTTACATGAAGGCTTCTGCCAGCTTTGCTATATTGGTCTGGGACAGAGAGTGGGCTGAGGGTAAATGACGCTCTCAGAGATAGAGCTTTGCCAGAAAAACTTTTAGCTTGGCTTAGTCTTAACAGCTGCTGTGCTGGTGCTTTATCTCTGGCTATTATTAGTTTGCCTTTGCAATAGACAGACCCATACCTTTATCATGAATAATTTGCAATTTGCCAAGTTCAGAGTGCACATTTTAATTAACTCAGTGTTTGCTCGAAAGAAAATGATATTGCTGCACTTTCATTTCATAATGCAAGTAATACTCGCTGAGTGTTCACTCCTGACCTGCAAGGCCTCATGTTTAAAACAAACTGGGAGGCGGTGGGGGAAGAAAGGTATTTTTTGGCAAGGAAACTGCTGCCTTCAGGCTATTAATGGATCTTAATCCTGAGCAGAAGATGAAATCACTTTGGACAGGTGCCAAGCAATACAATGACTTTCCTCTGATTTCAGGGAGTTCTTCCTCAACAGCCTTTTCTGCATGAAATAAGAGCTATGCTTGTAGGGCTTCATTCTGCTCTCACTTTACACTCATTGTATACCCCTATTAAGGCAGTGTCCCAGCAGAGTTTCACCACATTAACAAAAGAAAACCAAACCTCATCAGTCCTTTTATTTATTATCTGTATTATCACCCAGGGCCCATATTTACTGGTGCTGACATTGGACTTTGTGCCTGCAGAGCCAGAGGGCACATTTTTTACTCTGATTGTGCTTTTGAGCAAAATTACCTTTAAACTGCATCATTTGGCAGTCCCCTGATAGCGTTACTCAGCAAGAAAGATGTCTGAACCTCTCCCTGAAAGGCTGAAGACCCATGATAGTCATCGAGCTGCTCAAAGAAGCCAAATAGCATGCCCTTGTTGTTGATTTGTCGCAAGGTGTGTAGTCCTGTTTAGCTCCCATGATGCTGCAGTGCTGACAAAATGGGCTGTTCCAGTTCTCCTGCTCCTCTGGGTGCTCCTGGCCATTTCTTATCCCCCTACATGGACCTGGCGCACAAGGCTGCAGGATGATTCAGATTAGCTCACTTTTACAACTGGAAATTAACCCAGGAAAACGTCTGTGGTGCTGGTCTGAGTGGCTACCCAGAGGTGCGATGATGGGGAGAGGTGCAGTAGCAGGAGGGATTCAGTTGCTGGCAGCTAACACTCAAATGTCCTCCAAGTTGTAGGTGGTATGATGTTGGCTGTCTCCTTAATGCAGGCAAACCCATGGGCATTGCACAAAGGGGAAAAAGAAGGGATGGGAAGGAGCAGAAGGGAGCAGAGCAGGGGCATGGGGGATTTCTGGAAAGACAACAAAAGAGGTGAGCTGGAGCCTAATGTGTTGTGGGCAGTGGGGACTGGTGAGGAACTTAGTGACGGACAGGAGACAAAGTGAGCTCAGAGGGAAAGGACTGGAAAGGAACAGCGCACAAGTAGTGGTGATGGTGACAGGGTGGTAGTTTGGTGGGGAAAAAGTGCAAAAGAAGGCATCCAGAACATAACAACAGTGTGAACAGATGGATGTGATGGGGAATGGATGCTACTTCCCCCAGACCTGATCCTGACCCTGACTTGCTGACTGTCCTCTGCAGATGCCCCTCCTGCTCCCTGCCAGAGTGAACAAGGCTGGAGTGGAGGAGAGCTTTGATGGGTGTTCCTGCAGAGGGGGAAGCACTGTGCTGGGGGGAAGGAGGGTGTGATCAGAGCTCTGGAGGGGAACAGCACACATATGGAAGCTCTCCAAGGGAAACCATTTCTGCACAAACACAAATGATCCAGGAGAAAACAGAAAAACTGGGCAGGATGAGGCTGGTAGTGAGTGGACAGCTGAGGCTATAAGGAAAACTCTGCTTTGACAGGCAAGGAATGATGTGATGAAGACGAAGGTCTTAGCAGGGTCAAACCAGAAAGAGGCACAAAGAAAATTAGTCATGAAGAGCCATTCAGTACTTGAACAGAGGGCTTCAGAGAGCATAGACATTTAGAAGAAGAATGTGGGGGAGTGGTACCCCATAAAATGGAGAGCCAGGGACAGCTGAGTGCCATAGGCATTGCTGAGAGAGGAAAGAGGAAGCAGAGGGCCTGAGCTACATCCAGCAGTTCAGGTGAGGCAGAGGTACGTTAGCAGGATGCTGGTGCAATGCATTGCACTGTGCAAAGCAACAAGCAGACCTGGCTCTCAGGAGTGCAGGTGAGAGCTTGTCACTCGAGCAGATGGAAAGGTAACTGCCCCTACCCACACATGTGACTGCAGAGCACCTGAGGACAGCAATTCAGCAGCAGTAACACTGCTCTCTTCCCTGGCACGGGACAGAGCAAGTGGAAAGTGGTGAGGCATCACTCATTCTGGTAACATGACCTAGGAGACATGCTGCTGACACTGGATTTTCTTACCAGGGCACAGGGCAGCCACCAGCCTGGGAGGGAGTAAAGGAGAAGCATGGCCTGATCCACTCCATGAACACCATCACAAGACCAGCAAGATGCAGAGACCTGCATTTGGCACAGCAGAGAAATGCAGTGTTTCATGCAGGTATACATCAGTATGTCAAGTATCTCCAGTTCTGTGCTATAGAAATGACAGCAAAACTGGTCCTGGGACCAAAAGCCTTCAGATCCTGAAATGTGATAAAAAATCTTAAGGCCTACCTCATGGTAGAGAAAATCAAATGCTCTCCTGGATTTTGAAGGCATGAAATGGAGTGGCAAACACAGACCTCAGTAGCAGTTTCTTGGGGTCCTGAGTATGCTCTCCCCCTTCTACGGTTCTGGCTGGCAGCTCCAGACCAGCTGGATGGTCAGAGCTTGTGAGGAAAAAAGAGCTGGAAGAAACTTTTGTGGAGGATCCCCTGCATAACCCTGCTGAGATGCTTTCATGGGGTGTCCCCCTCCTTAGCCCGGGAACTGCTTTTAAGTCATGGTTCTTTCATGGTTGGCCCCTGTCTGAGCTGTGCCATGGCCATGTTCACACCAGGCTGGTACCCTGGTGATGGGAGCCCTGACTCTTCCTTGGGGTCTCAACTCCCTGAGCTTGCCTCATCACTTTGGGCATTGCTGCTCCCTGCTATGGTTTCAATGCAGCTGCCAGGCTGGTGCAGGGGCATTTGTCGAGCAGGGGAGCTGTGCTGCAGCGGGGATAATGGGGATTTCTTCTCTGCTGCAAGGGAATCAAATCTGCAGGAACTGAGAATAACATCCCAGGCTCCCTTGGGATTCCTTTGCCAGCACAACCCCTCCCTTCAAGAGAACAGCAGCTGCCTGAGACTATGAACCCAGGGGCACACACACCACAGCATCCACCACAAGACTCAAAAAGGATTGGGAAGCAGAACCTGTGTCACAGCTAAAGACTCTACTGAGTGAGTGGAGGAAGCACTGGGAATCACAGGGAAGGAGGGAAACAGAGCTGTATGTGATACGCAGATAGACTCCACAACTCGTTAGAGCTATAAAGTAGGTATGATTTTATTCAGCACTGAGGCGCGTGGAGGTTGCTCCTCCAAAATCACTTGCACCTTTCTTTTGCCACTCAGTTTGTTTATATTACATATAATGATTACCTAAACATGAGATTGCTTCACGCCCAATACATATGCAAAACCTATTCCCATCTACTATTATAATTAGTTTTCCGGCATTCATCCCATTGGTGTGCCTGTGCAGTGCCTCCTGGTGGTGGTTGTTAAGGGGTTGTGAGGATGAAGGCCTGTAGTTCCTCTTCATCATCGTGAGTAAACTCTTGCTTTCACGTAGACTCTATAGGGTTTCTGCTCCTATCCAAACCTCAGGTTCAGTACAAGCCAGTTTTATGTATCTTAAAGCAGAAACTTGTCAAGTTTGCAAATTTTGTTACTCTGGCTGTCTTTTGTTCCTTTTCTTTCTAAAGATACTATTTAAACAAGAATGTCTCAAATATTAAGTTATGAATCTTACCTATTACAATTCTGCCTAGCCACTGTAACTCCTACAATTCTGCTTCACCATTCTAGCAACATTGACTCCTATGGTTCTGCTTCACCAAGCACAGCGACTGCTTAAGCAAGCAGGCACAATGTTAACCCTTTATTTCCCAGTATCATATGGAGAATTTGTAGCTGTATAGACTGTTGAGACACGAAGAAAGCAGTAAGAGACAACATTACTTTTTATGCAGCCAAGATGAGATCACCTATCCACTCTCTACAGCACTAAACACTCCATCTGGGCACTAGCAGTTCAGGCTGGGCCAAGAAAGCAGGATGTTAAAGACTTTAAGAAGACAGCATTTTAAGTGCCTGTCCCAGAGATATGCCCCAAAAGATTCATGAAATAACACAAAGCCAGTGAAGAGTGGGAGTCACTCTGGATGACAGGACAGACTGTCCTGGGTTCAGCAGTAGCAGTCATTTTTCTCTTTCTTGGTAGCTGGTGCAGTGCTGTGTTTTGACTTTCAGCTGGGAACAGAGCTGATGAAAATGATGTTTTGGTTTGGCCAAGGACTTTGTGAGCCTCATGCTCTGCCAGGGAGGAGGGAAGTTGGGAGGAGGCAGAGACAGGACACCTGACCCAAACTGACCAAAGAGGTATTCCATACCATAGCACGGCATGCCCTGGATGTAACCGGGAGAGTTACCCAGAAGGGCTAGGAGGGCTTGCAGGGTTGGAGGGGGTATCGGTCGGTGCTTGGTCAGGCTGGGGGGGCGAGTTATCGGTTGGCTGGTGGTGAGTGGAGCATTCCCTTGTTATTTCCTTTATCATTACTATTATTGGTGGTAGCAGTAGTGATTTGTGTTATACCTTAGTTACTAAACTGTTCTTATCTCAACCCGTGGGAGCTGCATTCTTTCTGATTCTCCTCCCCGTCCCTCCAGGAGTAGGGGGAGGGCAAGAAGAGAGGGGGGAGTGGGTGAACAAGCTGTCTGGCTGGGGTTAAACCACGACACAGACCCAGAGAAAAACATGACCAAAAAACCCCATAGCATACAAGCAGCAGAGAGTGCAGCCTAAAACTGAGTCACAGCAAAATGCAAATCCACACAGAGGAACTGAATGATTTTGCCCACACTGCAGAAAGAGGAGACATTGGATTTGGTTCAAAATAAAGCAGGCAGCTAGTGAACAGCAACTTCCCTCTGGAAGTCAGCAACTGCACAAGGAATATTGACATACCTATCAAGATTTATACCATGAGCAACATGAATGCACAGCTATGAACTGAGGAAGAATATAAATGAGGAAGGCAAAGGAAACCTTGAACAAGACCTCCAAAGCAGTTGCTTTGTAATCAGGCTAACTCATCAAAAGCAAGGAAAATACCATGTCAGACAGTTGAAGCTATAGGAAGGAGCTCTGGTAAGGTATGGATGAACTGAAGCCAATGCTGCAAAACTAGTCCTAGAAAAACACTTCACTGTTGTGTGGACGTCAGGGTTTTTTCTCTGGCACATACTGGACCACAGACTAACATTGCAAGTGATTTACAGTCCCGTAGCAGATGTTCTTCACAAGCCTCATGCTCCTGTACCACCGAGTCATTAGCATGTAATTCCAAAGCTAGAAAGATTCATGTTGAAAGGGAAAATGCAGTTAGTTAAGGAAAGCAATATTCACTCAGTATACGATGATGACATCTTGTTCAGATAAAGACAGTGGGGTGAGATGGTTCAGAAGTCATTGGGAATACAGGTGCTGCCTGTGTGATTCATGTGTTGAGGGGTGGGTGGCATGAGGTGCTGGGAGCCAGCTATCGATGAAGATGTGCACAAAGGTGTTGTACTGTTAATACTTGTCATCTAGAAGTTCTGAGCTGCCCTGAGTTGTCACCAGCAGGGAGGCTGTTCATACCACAAGAGATGTGCTTGCTAAACGATACAGTATGGCACAAATGGAATGGCAAGCTCTTTGTCTTCTGTCCACTATCTCCTCCAGCTGCCCCTTACTTGAATCAAATGGTACCATATGTCATGCTCTGAGCTTTTTTCCCATTTCTAGATGTAAAGATGGGGAGACAAATTTTAAGAGATACTCAGCAAGTGATCCTGGAATCCTTTTCCTCTTGTTTGTGTACATGTGTGTGCCTGTAGAGATAAACTGAGCTGTGGGGTGGGAGGGAGGCTTGAAATGTTGACTTAATTAAATGCTGATCACTGTACCGTGTACCACCCTGGCCAAACCCCAGCTGTAAAACACTGGCTGCTGAAGCAAATCTCAGTCCTGCTGTCTGTCGTGTTCTACAGTTGCACATACAGAATCAGAGAACAACCTGGTGAGAACAGACCTCTGGAGGTCTCAAATCCAACCAGTATGAACAAACCCAGGTCCCGTAGCTTCTCCTTAAGTGCTCCAGATCGTTGTTGTTGGTTGGGGGTGTTTGTTGGGGGGTGTGGTTGTGTGGGGGTTTGTGTTGGGTTTTGGGGTTTTTTTGGGGTTTTTTGTTTGGTTTGTTTTGTTTTTTTTTTGGGTGGTTTGGTTTTTTTTTTTGTACTAATCTCCTTTTCTCCAAACTATAGAGACCCAGCTCCCTCAGTCTTTCCTCATAAGGGAGATGCTCCACTCCCTTCATCATCTTAGTTGCCCTGCGCTGGACTCTCTCCAGCAGGTCCCTGTCCTTTTTAAACTGAGGGATCCCTGATCTCATTGGACCCCATTCAGTATATCAGTATTGCTCATGCCCTGGGAAGACCAGAAATGGAAACAATGCTCCAGATGCAGCCTCATGAGTGTTGAAAAAAGGGAAATTATCCCTTCCCTTGGCTTGTTCCCTTGCTTCCGCAGTCCACTATTGATTTGGCCTACACGGCTGCTGAACTTCACTTCTGAGTCTTGTTCAACTAGCAGTTTTCTGGCAGCCTAAGGCCTTTTCCTGCAGAGGTGTTTGCTAGGCAGGCAGCAGCCAGCCTGCACTGGGAGTGGGGCTGTGCAAGCAGTGCAGAGCTTTGCCTTTGTCACTACTGGACTTCGCATGGTTTCTACCAGCCCACTTCTTCAGCTTATTTAGGTCCTGAATGGCAGTGCTGCCCTCCAGCATAGCCACCTCTTCTTCAAGTCTGATACCATCTGTGAACTCTTCAAGGTGTTCCCTGCCTCCTTTTCCTCCTCTAGGTGAGGATGTTAAATGGCAGCGGTACCAATATTGACCCTCTGAGGAATGTTACTCAGAACTGGCTTCCTGTTAGACTTGGAGTGTTGACCTGTGTACTTTGAGCTCACTTGTCCAGCTTGTTTTTCACTCACTTTGTAGTCCACTCATCCAGTCCATACCACCCCGTGTTCGCTACAAGGATGCTATGGGCCAATGTTCTAGTAGCCCAACACTTCATTTTGGTGGGGAGGAGTACACATGCAGCTAGGCATCAGCCATTGAAGAGTTTTCCTGTATCACTTTTGGCCATATCTTCTCTGCTGGCAATAGATCAGCTGGACCAAAACTCTCTGGAAAGTGGCGGAGAGGCCTTATTATTTTACCTTAAAGAATGTGCCAGGCTGCCAAGAATTAGGGGTGTGAATTCCTCTATAAAATCAAAGGAATCAGCATATACTTTTCAGCCAGGGTTCACTGGTTATTTCTACAGCAACCGGTTAGCTGTAGCCCAGAAAGACTGGTATTTGTGCTGATAAATCTGAACACAGTTTCCTAAGGGGTCTGATACGGTCAGACAAGGATCTGAAGGGAAAAAACCCAAAAAGATGGCTGCTCTCTCTCATCTGAAGTCCTTGGCTTCAGCTTCCTGAATTTCTCCTCCATTCTGGAATGGCTGGAAAAACAAGCCTGCACTGTTCAAACTATTCTTTTCCCAAGCCCCTTTTCGGAAAGCAAGGATGCTATTTCTGTAAGAACTTGAAAGGAAATACATGTCTGAGACCGAGAACAAGAATGGAACATTTCAGTACAAACAAACGGTGAACGTTTGGCAGCTGGGAGCTGACAGGGGTTTGTAACACGCTGCAACAGAGGGGTTGTCTTGCTGGCTCTACTAACAGTCAGCTTTCTAAGGAAAGTAAAACCATGCCTGTTGGAATGTATTCTCTTGCAGAGCCTGCTCCAAAAGGCTGTTACAGTGCAGACGTAGCAGTTACTTTGTTCAGATGGAGTCTAGCATGTTCCCAAAGAAAGTCTGTCCCCTCCTTCTCTTCCTTTCCCTTGCCCCAGCCTTGGCCAAACTCTTCAGCCACAACTTTTTTTCTTCCTCATGCTGTACTCAGCCCTCCCAGCTCCAGCCCACTTCCTTCTGCCTTTATTTTACTGAGATCAGCCTTGCCAGCAGGGTGGAAAGGGAAACAAATGACTTTAGTTTGTGTTTTCTGTACTCTACAGGGCTGTGATATGATGGGAAGCTTTGGTGAAACCTTACCTGCCCATCAGGAAGGTCAGTGCTGTTAATTACTATCATTAGGAACACAACCACCTGGTTTCACAGCCTTTCCCACCTCCCATCAGGAAATGACCCAGGGATGTACATTTCTCCACAGATCATCTATTGCTTTTCCCAAGGATACAAAGCTGGGTGTCTTAAAGGAGCTTTGCTTTATTAGGTTTCCATACACAGACACTAAAATGAGGCATTTCTACTACAGAGCAGTACTTTTGTTTCAAAGGTAATCCACCATGAGAAGGTAAAATGGAGCTGTGCCTGAGGAGGAACACATTGTCCATTATCTCCATGTCATCACATCAGCTGAGGACCATTCAAATGACCTTCACACTCCCAGCATGCTGGGTGGGTGCATGGATACCAGACCTGGTCTTCATAGGTTTGGATGGGGGTAGCAACATTGATTTCTTTATGGGGTGGATGAGTTTGTCTTTGATTCCCAGCTGGAGGCAGGGGACCTGTTAGTTCTGTTCTTTATGATGCCTTTGCCTGAACAGCTTGGACAAGGAAAGGTATTTACCTGCAATGCAGAACAGAGTGGCAAGGACTAGATGGGAAGGAGTTGTACTGGGACAAGCCTCCTGGGCCTGAAACAGGGAGAAGGCAGCGACTGTGGGTGTCAAAGGGTGACCAGGGATATGTAGGACAGGAACAGTAAGATCTAGATTAGTGGGGTTGATCAGACTGGGAGTGAGGAGACAGCCAGAAGCAGGTGAGGTAGAGTGGCTGGGGAAAGAGACTGGGAAGGGTGGATGACTGGACAAGGAGCTGGAGAATGGAGCCTGGGAGTGGGAGATGGATGTCTGGGGGAACACCAGGGAGAAAAGCTTTGCTCCTCAAAGCTGAAGGCAGGCATGTGCTTTGGGGGCTGAGTGAAGAAAACAAGCAGGGAGTGATTCTGAGGAGTGAAGGAGAGGGATGAGAACCAGCCTTGGGTACAGGAAGGACCAGGGCAAGGTAGGAATGAAGGGCTCAAACTGGGAAGGTAGGGCTGGGTTACAC